TTTTGCCCGGACCAAATGGCGCAGTGCTCTTGTTGGGGGGAACTCCTTTGCGCTTGGGTTCGAAGGAAGCCAAGTGTGCCAAAAGCAAAACCAAGGCGCATGCGGATCCCCCCTACTTTCAAAACACTTCCTCCTGGTGATGTTGGAGAACAAAAAAACCGAGTTGGATCTGGGCATGTTAAATTAATTCTTTCTAACCGACCAAAGGGGCGCCCAGCCAAGGCCCATGGTGGGGCCCCAGAGCCACGGCCCCAGCCGAAAAGCGAAAAGACGAGGCCCCGGCTCCGTCCCTTTCTTCGGGTTTTTTCTGGCTTCCCTTTTGGGTTTTAAAAAAGGATGGGCTTTTCCTCCCCAAAGAAGAGGGACGATTGATTGAACTTTGAGCCACCTCAAAAGTAGTTGGACATGAATCTCCAAGTTTTGATGTCCACCAAAGAATCCAGGACTCATCGAACTTCACATAGCAGATGTGTGGCGCCCATGTTGCCACCATGTGTTGCAAAATGTTGTGTCGCTAGGAACGTTGGCCAAATGGTTGCTTTAGATTTCACGTTGGTGCTGGCATGTTTCGTTTGGTTGGTATTATGTTCGCTCCCCAACAAGTTATCCAGCTCTCAGCGGTTCCGATGCGTCTCCAAAATTGGGAGGGACCTGTTTGAAGGCTCGGTGTCCGTTTGGTTTCGCTCCCTCCCAAAGCTGGGTTCATGTTGCGCTCGCACCTTGTACGTTTTTTGTTAAATCAACTCTGGTGCAGAACTCTCCGGGCCAGCAATCAAACCCCTTGAAAGCAACCCTTGAAACCTATGGTGAACGGTTGAAGCCATCTATGTCAATCCCCGCGGCACCTTCCAGGTGCATCACTACATGGACTTGCACGCGCCCCGCGCCTGTGGCCCAGACGACCCCCCCTGTGACCTGCAGGAGCGCAACCGATTCGTTTCTGCTGCTTCTTTAGCGAGCTCACCGACTCGGGGGGGGGTACAATGAGCTCGCCATGATGAAGGTCCGTTTTGCTTGGGGATCCCTTACTTCAGTTTTTGTTTGTAGAGATTGCAGATGTTTGTTGCCGGTTAGCGGGAAAGAGCATGTTGAGCCAATTGCTCAGCTTCACCATTCAGAGGACTTGGCCGGAAGGCTTCGATGTGGCTTTCCTCAAGTACCCAAAGGCAAGCAAGAGTTTGCAAACGGCTCAAGAGCAGTCCGCCACGTGAAGCAAAAAACATGTGACCAGGTTCCAGCATCGCGTGCGAGGGACCCGAACTGGAAACCCTACGAAGCTGAGTTAGGATGGGTCAAAGCCACAGAAATACCAGCTGAAGGGTTTCCACAACCAAGTGATGTTTAGACGTATCCAAGGGCCCCCTGAACCTTTCGTGTTTGACGACTCACAAAGGGCGCCATGTGATCTGAGGTCTTTTTCCCCGCTCGGATGGTGTTGCAAGTAAGCAGGCCAAAGCCCACTTTGAACCTATGCTCAGCGATCCGTCAAACCAAATCCAGAACATGGGCCCAGCCGGAACGACGAACCTCCCAATCTGCCCGCTAGGACCGCTCAGCGCTTTGGGCCCTGGGCCATCTTCGGCGCCTTCCGGTCCAGGAAGAGGCCAGAGGTTCTCTGCGTCGCTCTCGTCGACTTCCCTGAAGGTTCCCTGAAGGAAGGACTCGGAGCTGGAGGAATCCGGAGCTAAGGAACTGGCAGGAGTGTCAAAACATGGCGGTTCCTTGTGCTAAGCACGGGGACACGTGGGTGTGCTGAAGTTCTTCCCATGTTAGAGGTTGCTCTGAGTTGTCTCAGGTAACCATTGGGTTCTCAAAATTTCGGGATTCGCACCACGCATCTTAGGGTGTTGGATGCAGGTCCAACAGGCTTGCTGGCAAAGGTTGTTTAAACAAGGCTCGGGTCGCACAAGAAGCCAAAAGTTGTGGCTGCTTTGCAGTGCTGTGCTTCAAACATGTTTGGACAAGGCAAGGGCTGCCAAATGTCCGTCCTTGGAGCACCCTGGAGGGGAAGGTGCATACCCAAAATGAGATGGTCCCTGTTTTTTCGACCCTTCGGCGTTCGGGTTGTGCAAATGGGTCGTTTATCCTCAAAGAAGACACGGCCATGTCTCAAATGGATCAGTCCCCTTCTTGGATCAAGTAAAGCAAGAGACAAACAAAGCACTTCCATGTTTCCCTTGTGAACATCTGGGTGAACTCATTGACACGTTCCCATCGCCGCACCTCACCCGTTTGGTTTCCCCTCCTCAAAAACCGCTGACCCGTCCCTTTGCTTCGCAGCTCAAAGAAACGAGCAGAGTCTCACGCGGCGCCGTTCACTCTGAGCTGTTTCTCTTACGAGTCTGCCAAAAAAGTGAAGGGTCCCCCCAAAAGAAACAAGGGCACCGCAAAAGATCAGGTTCCACCCAGATTCCAAGCGACATGCGGCTTGCGCCAAAATTCGGCCGGAGACTTGTGAGTTTTTGGCGAGCCTTGTTTTACCTGCAAAAGGGGTCGTGAAAGGAGAAGCAAAAGGTTGGAACTTGGAAGGACTGTTCAAATATCGAAGGATCTTGCTAGAACCAAAATACCATTCGGAGATTGATAGTCAGATGGGTTTGATGCTCAATTGCCTGAACATCATTTTTGAGGATGGTACCACCAAAAACTCACCATATTTGACCAGGAGCTCTCTCGCGTTTGCTAACCATTGAAATCAGCCAGAAGCGAACCACTTGAACAAGACGCATCTTGAGAATGGCAACTATTGCCATTTCAGCAACTTCCACATATCTCGGAGTTTGACAATTTGACTCCATTTGCCCACCCTTCGCTCCTCGCTCCCTTTCGCTCAGTGGCTCCCGGGCCGCTGGTGCTTCGAGGGTTTAGCCCGGGCCGAGGCTGGAATTCGATGATTTCGATGGGAATTCGATGTTGGACGGAATTCTGAGAACCGGAAGTTGGACAAAAGCGATTTCTTGAGGCCCGAAAGCGCCGAACACGTCGCAACGCGTGGGAAAGAACTATGCCCTCGGGCCATGCGTTCCGAAGGTGCAGCACAGCTGCTGCGGAGCTGTCCAGTGCGTGGGCTTCCAGCGCGAGCCAGCAGCTGAGACCTGATCGGCCCTGTCTTTCGGGACGTGTGTTGATTTTGTGGGACGTGTGTGGTTTTTTCTTGGCGCAGTCTAAAGCCCGAGGTCTCACCTGGACCAACCCGACCTAACACTACCCACCTGAACCCACGATCTACAACCCAATGTTGATGTCGCTGGTGCAATTGCGTGATATACAAAACTTGCATGACTCGCAAAGCCCACAGGTTTTGTCTTGGAAGGGAGGCGGGGGGCATTCTTAAAGGAGCTCCCCTTTGGCGTAAGGAAATCAATTCTACTGTGGGCGGGGGGCATGCTTCCCCGGTGGAGATGGGCAGTCAATATTCAGTGCCACGTCAGACATCGGCAATTCCCATGTCAGCTGGGGGCCCTGGATGTTGACCGTATGTCACTGCACTGTCGCTGTGCACAAATACGCTGCTCGCCGACTAGGAACCGATCTCCGCCGTGAAGTGGATGCCATTGCACTAAGGTTGTGCTGTGCCAGCGGTCAAAATGCCATGGAGCGCGCTGCCTGAGGTTTTTCTTCCAACCTGTTTCCTAGGCGCTGCATTGCAAGAGGCACGTACGCCCTGACTGACTTGGCTCTTTTGTGCATGTCAGGTCCCTTCCACATCCATAAGCAACACGAGGAGATGTCTTCACCGAAACCCGAATTTTGACTTCGAAAGTCTGGGGAACCGAAAGTCTGGCGACTTCGCTCCGCTCCTTGTGGCGCTGGGCTGATGGTTACCTCTCCCGCAGTTTCGGTTCAGAGCGAGCGGCGAGGGTGCGAGGGTGCGAGTTCCCGGGTCATAGAGCTTGTGACGAGCTTAATGGCTGAAGGCCGGGTCGGGTGGAGCGCATTCCCACGGGAGTGGAACTCTGCTTTTCGTGTGACTTGGCTCCCAGCCATCCGGTTCCTGGGCTTTTTAGCTTTTTGGTGTTTAGTGGTTGGATTTCCATTCAACCCACTAAATGTTTAACCGAGGGATCTGCGGGCCCAGCTTTGACTTGATTCCCTACACCCAGAAGCCCAGAAGAGCAGCCGGTGGCTGAAATCACGGAAAGACCAAGTCAATTTTTCCTTGAAGGGAAGCCAAAGGGAAACCGATGCCCCTCGTTTTTGCGATTGACACCTCTGGGAAATATGAAGGAACCCTTTCTGGGCTCATCCGATCCCATGTTCACCTGAGCCCTTCCAAAGTCGCAACTCTTTGCAAGGTCACAATTCAATTAAAACCATCTTACTTGTCTTTTTCTTGGGGTACCCCAGATGGTGTCCATTTCCCGGAAGCGCCAAGCCAACCAGTAACCAGCCCACGGGCCCAGCCGCGTCCGAAGGCGCCCTCCACGATGTGAAGATCCTCAGGGACTTGGATGAGCGCTTCGATACGCTCGAGGCGGGGCTCGGGGCTCGCGATGGCCCGTCGATGCCGACTCGCAGACCCATTTGGCTGAGCTATGGTTTAGGGAGGTGTCACTAGTACTAGGCTATGACCAAAAGTGAGCTGGCCTCGGAGAAAAGAAAGAACGAGTCTCACAGATCCTGCTGAAATGACACCCAGGGAATCCACGGCTTCTCCGGAGAATGAAGCGTATGGGTTCCCTTGGCCTAGTCTTTCAGGCTACCCGAGTCTCAAAACATGCGGCGTGCTGTTTGTGACTGCACGGTTACGAGGGGTTAAAGCCTACGCTGTTAGAACCCCCGCCTTTTGGTTTCCGTCTATTCCGATCCACAACCCTGGCACGAAAACCACAAAGCCTGTGTCTGGGGGAAGAATAGCGACCTCACACGACCTCACCGGTTTATGTGGGGAATAACCCCCCAACCACCTTATTTCAGGCTGGTGAAGTATTCTGATTCACCTAGATGAGTCCCCTCCCGCATCCCCCGCCCACCCGGCGCACCTCCAGGCCAATGTTGCCATGATCCCTGAGCTGGAAGATCGCATCGCCGCCCTAGAGCTCATGATGAAGGTCCATCGGCATGGGATGGGACGGGTTCTTCGAAAATGGGACGTTGGTCTCCAAACCATAAGGCATATAGACTTGAATATGCAGATGTTTGGTGTCTTGAAGGAATCGGACAGGATTGATCTTGAAGGAAGGAGTCCTAGTTTGATCATCAGGAAAGTAGGGAAGGGTTCTAAAATCGCATCGGCTTCCGGATCCCTGATTTCAAGTTTTAGAATCATGGTGGAATTCGCAGCTGGTCTTTCGCGGGCTGTGTATTGCACAGTTTGGCCAACAGGCTTCTGCTTTTGTATGTTGTGCGTGTGTGTATGTGTGTCTCTTTTTTGTGTGTGTGTGTGTGTGTCTTTCCTAGTCCTTTGACTAGGTGGCCTACCAAAGAGGTGGAATCGGTCCGAATCTAGCATGAGACCGGGCTCGCTTTTGGGCCTCTCCCGAGGCCGGCGGCGCGATGAGCCCCATGAAAGCTGCGGCCAAAGAGTTCGAGGCGCCCAAAGGCCCCAGGTGGAGTGCCGAGGAGAGCGCCACGGACCGAAAACCCACCGGGCTGGGTTCAAAATCTATTAGATCCTTCGCCAAGAGGGGTGTCTCCATTGAAGCTGGTTTGCATGTTTCGCTTCGCGGTTGGGGCTGATGGGCTGTGGCAAATCCAAAGCGATTTCGCGGCTGAAAAGCGAAAAGCCTCGGGCGAAGGGGTTTCGGGCGCCCTCCAAAAGGTTTCTCGACGGGTCGAAGCCCGGGGCCAAGCAATCGAAGGGTTCGCCCGGCAAGAGGAAAGGCTCTGAAGAGGTCACAAGGTTGAAAACTGAAAAAGCGGAAAGGCTGCGCAAACCAAAGGAGCATGTGCAAGCCAAAAAACAGGATGTGAGAACAAAACGGTTTGAAACAAGTGCCAATTGTTTCGGATCGATGCAGAGAGAAAACGCAGTGGCTATTGGAGGGCTTGGCTGGGCATGGAATGGACAGCTCTCTTCACTGCTTCCACATGTGCGCTCCTCAAATGGACCCTGTTTTGGTAGGGAACCAAAAGGAACCCAGCAATGGGGAACCTAGTTGTTAGAGTCATGCACTGAGGCCTCGATGATTAACAGCCCTCGGTGGGGGTTTGGGGCAGTGCGCGTTCGGTGCGCGCAGTGTGCGCGGACGATGCACGTACGCAGTGCACCTCTGAGCGCTCTGAGCATGTGTTGTGGTTCTTTGCCAAGATCTGATGTGGGAGCCACGCATGACTCTTGCGTGGTGAGTTATCATGGAGCTGAGGGTGTAGCCCAAATGGCCCCTTAGGAGAACAAGTATCCAATGGATTCGCTGCCTAGGGCGCATGTCACATGCCCAGGCCTAGGGCAGCCAACGGCCCGTTTCGGCGAGGGGACCTCGACTTCGCTGAGGCCCAGGAAAGCGGGCGCCGCCCGAAGACGACGGCGACGACGGCAACGACGGCAACCAGAAGATCGTCATGATTCAAGGCCGGCGCCCGGCGGTTTTTTTGTGCGGGGGCTGGCCTTTCTTGGACCCTGGAGGGAAACGCCCGAAGTTCATGGGTCACCCACAGCTGAGCAGTTCGTGGATTTGTTTTTGTTTGCCCAGTTGGGTTGAGTCACAGGCCAAAAATGGAGTCGCGATTTCGGAGTCATTGCCACGCCGCACTCCGAAGGCGATGAGCCGAAGACAAGACGAGTCTCGCAGAGCGGCGGAAGGCACGGGTTGAGAGACAGAGACCAGTCGGTGTGGAAATAACAGAGCGGCAAAGTGATGGAAGGAGCCTAAAAAGAGGTCCAATCAATCCCCACTTTCAGCAAGCCACAGCTAGTTTCCTTTGTGGAATGGATGGGCTTTTTGGGCTCGTTGAGGGGAGTATGGGAAAGAGCCGCGAGGGACGGGGAATGCCAATTGCAGGACACGCAAATCGATCGCAGAACCCCGCTTGGCTCATGTGGATGAGTCGATCTTGGACAGCGAGACGAAGGAGAGAGATATGCAGAGAAAGCTGCAGCCTATGGGTTGACTGGCTCCCGCAGGTTTGGATATAGCATTTTGGATATGTGTTTTGTTCACGTGTTGTTTCATCATGTGGCAAAACGGCCGAATGGCCGTTTGGCTCAAGTTTTTGGGAACTCCCGTCAAGTTCCCCTCGGACTCGCGTGCGAACGCCATATCCTGGCATCGCTCTTCGTCACCGCAAAAGGCTTTGTGGTGCCGCGGCGCTTTGGGGGTAGGAGGTGTTCGGTGGGCCGTCGAGGTGTTCTTGGGCCTGTCCCTCAAACTACTGTTTTGCAATCCCATTTCTAACCTCCCCAAACCTGATCTTCTTCAACTGTCACTCCCACAACCTGGTCATCAGCACCTTCTCCATTGTGCGTTGAGACTGGGTTCTTTTGGTACTTCGTGGATTACGTGTACCTCTTTGATTCCCTGGGCTACTTCGTGTTCGCCCAAAACCGCAGGTTATCAGCCGTACCAGCTAGAAGCTGGGGCTGGTGATCCGGTTGCGGGACGTGACCCGCTACCTGCTCCCATCGCCTACTTGTACGAGCAATGGCGTCCCCCGGAGCTTCTCATCGTGGGCCGGGCTTCGTGGACGACGAGGCCAACGCCCTTCGCGGCAACGCCGCGCCTGCTGCCCCCGGCTTAGACAGCCGGCTGTGGCCCATTCCCCCGATGGTGGGCGCAGAGCCCAATCCCGGGGTGATCACGGACGATTGGATCCTTTCTCAGGTTGTGTTTGATGAGGATGCGGAGGCCCCTATCCCGGCGGCAGTGCTCCAGATCGAGGACGGACCCCCTCTAGAAGAGGCTGAGGTTCCTCCAAATCAGGTGCCCTCATCGATTTCGCCTACTGTTCCGTTCGTGGCGCTCCAGATCGAGGACCGGGCTGTCCATCATGCTGCTCATCCGGAGCCGGCTCAATCATGGTCCCTTACATGGGATCAGTTTGACCAACTCCTCGGCAGTGGATCGCAGGCTACACCGCCTGATTTCGGTCGGCTCGACTTTAACTCGGGTGCCCCCGTTTCGGTTGGGAATCTGGATTTTCAATCCCTTTTTGATGCTGATTGGAGGTCTCAGCCTTCCCGAATTGACAGATCTTTTGATGCCCTGCCTACGCATGAGCCTACTCAGGGTTTTCCTCATGATGGAGAAAATGACCCCATTGAAGATTTCTCCCCTTCTCATGTTGCAGGTTCGGCCCAACCCGAGGTGGGCAAACGGGCGATTGAGGATTGGCCGCAAATAGCTGGCCCTCCTCCCGTCTCAGGTTCATCCGACATTGACATCATTCACGATCACCCCAGTCCGGCGGATATGGACTTCATCCCTGATGCAGTATCATCTCACCTGTCAGGTACCCGCGACCGGAATGCGGACCGCTACAACGCTGGTCCGAATCCACCGCTTTCCTCAGGTACCCGAGGTCGGGATGCGAACCGCTACAACGCGGGCTCAAATCCGCCAAATCGGACATCAGGTACTAGTCGATCGGATGCGGGCCGCGAAACAGCAGGCCCAAATCCTTCCTTCTCTTCGTCAAGAAGCCATGCCGGTCTCTTCGCGGCGTTCAATCGGCGTCAGACTCGAAAAGAGTCCGCCCCCGACGTCATCGACCTCGAGGAGCAGTCCAGCCACCGTACCAGCGATGGATCCGAGCAGGATACACCTGGTATTGGCTCTACTCCATTTGACCTCCTCGACATCCCCTTCCATCAGCCACCCAGGAGAGGAAATGAAGATGATGAAACCATTCCTGGGATCCTTGATGTAATCGATGAGGCCGAGGTCACACCAGAGAGACGAACTACATCGCTCCCGCCGAGCCGCGTTGCCAAAGTACTTTCCCCTAAGCCACTCAATGGTGACGTTGCTCAACGGCTTGATCTCACTCAACCTAATCCAGATCAAGCTCAACTTCGCGGATCATCATCATTTGATAATGTGTCGGGACAAACCGGCACTGACTCACGAGCCACAAAGAGGAGCTCTGAGTCACCCGAGAGACGTGAAGCTGCTCTACGACTGCGATCTAATCCCCCAGCTCATCACGATCCTATTGACGTTCCTATACACTCTGCGGGGTCTGGGCTCAGCTCCAATGCCCCGATGTCTGAGAAGGAGACTGATGACGGGATTAACTCTACGCCTAGGAACCGGAGACCTGGACTTAGCACTGTTGCCCCTGGATATGGAGGGCTTCCTTCGAATCAACCGGTCAACGACTCCGTTGTCCCCGCATTCTTTCAAATCGGAACTCCGGGCTGCACTCCCGACAGGGAAGAGAATAGTCGCGGAGATCATGACGCTGATAGTCGTCCTGCTCCGTCTGCTTCCACAAGTGGCGGCCATCCTGTTGCATCTGAGCTTCAACGACTGCTTCTCGCGATCCACAACGAGGTCAAGGGGTGCAAGGCCGAAATCCAGGGATGCAGAGCTGAGATTCGTTCATGTAGGGATGATATCAACGCTTGCGTCGGTGAGATCAAGAAGATCAATAACCGTGTTGACGCCTTCGAGAAGAAGGTTGAATCATCTTTCTCTGCCGTTGCCGGAACTCTCTCAAAACACGAGGCTAAGTTCCGTGATTTCCACGAGTGGGTCGCCCGAAGCGAGAAGGAGATGAATGAGCGTTTCAAGATGTATGATGAGAGATCTGACTCGATCGTCATATCCGCTGCTGAACTTCGCGAGCAGGCCGAATCACTTGAGAACGTCAAGGTCCAGCTTCTTAGGTTTTCTGAGATCGGGGCCCTTGAGGCTGAGGTTCGGAAAATCAAAGACGAAGTTGAGGCGAACTCTCGCAGTGTCATCGACATTGAGGGAACCATCTCAAGAGAAAGAACCATCCGTGGGAACGTCGAGACGTATATCCAGCATCTCGTTCCTGCGACCGACCTGAAGCAGTTCAGTGATAGGGTATCCGGAGCCCTCAATGAGAACTCACAGAAACAGGAAGAATTCAAGCTTCAATTGTTCCGCATTGCTAGGTGCGTCAAGGACCTTCACGACAAAAGCTTAGGCCCCAATCCGAGGGACATGCAAGAGCAGTTTATGAAGCTTGTGCTGAGGGTCAATGAGATCAACATGCAGATCGCTGAGTTGAGGGAGCAACCTCTTGCTGCCTGCGGATCCTCAAGTGCTGGCGCTGGTTCGACCGCAGGAACGGGATCATGGGAGAAATCTGGAGACACTGCTCCCTTAACCCAGGGAAGGGCTCCTAGAGGTTCTCCTCCTCGTGATGCTCGCACCGTCAGCTCGGCGAGGCCTCCTCCACCTCCACCTCCTTCGGGGCCACCCCCACCATCACCATCAGCCCCCATCTTCGGCAGGGATCCCTCTAGAACGAGGGCCATTGCTCGGGCTGCCGGCGCTGCCCCTGATAACCGGGCCAGGTGTGCTCATGAGGAGCCGGGCATCCACAGCATCGGGAACCTCGCTATCCATGCCGAAGCTGCGGCAAGTCAGTCTGCGAAGACTGCTTTGACCATGACTGTAACTCGTGTTTCAAGTGCAGCGATCAGTTTCCTAGATGCCGCGCATGCAGAGGAAGAGGGGGGAGACACGGACTTGTGAGGTGTCTCATATGCAAGGACGAGTACTGCGATCAACACATCGCTTCGCCTGACGATGTACGTCGTTTTGGGTCGAGTGTTCGACCTATTTGCCTCGGTTGTCTGAGAGCTGATCCCGACGGAAAAACTAAGCATCGCGGCCCCAGTGCGGGGCCTGGAGGACCTGATTGCATTCCTGATCATAATCAGCGGGATGGCACTGCTCCTGATCCTGGATCCGGGCCATCACGTGGAGATCCGTCACATCGGAGTCCTGAACCGCACCAAGGGAATTCTGGTTTCTGTTCCCACGCCGGAGCTGCCGGGCCAATGCCACCAAGGGCAATGTCTTCGCCCGTAGTCGGACGAGCAGTTCCGAGGGGGACCATCAACACGTACCCCGGATGTTCCCCTACAGGGGGGATTTTCACCGGTCAGGTTGAGCATGGAACGTCTCAGGGAGTCATTCGCGGGAGATACGGACCTGACGCTGCTGTGACAAATCAGCAGAATCCACAGCCTCACCACGGAGCACAGGATAACTCTGGCGGGCCAACTGGTTTTTCTCTTCCACCAGGACTCGGTAAGGGTGTGCATGGCGTCGGTGGCGTCGGCGGTATTGGAGCTCCCGATGTTCGCCGATCTTCCGCTGAGGAGAGGGTCTGCCCTCGGTGCAACATAAATGTCAAGACCAGCATCCCCGGGACACCTCCATGCTTTCAAACTTGTTCGTTGTGCCGCACTTCTCTATGCGCCGCGTGCTGCCCGCCATCGTCCGGGAGTTGCTCTCTGTGTGCCATATCCATTGGCAGAGACGGCGTTTTACCTCCCCATGTTTTTGGGCAGGCTACTCGACCGCCCTTAACTTCGTTGCCATCTGAGGCGAACAAGTGCGCCAACATAGAGCTCGAAAAAGAGCCCGCACCGCATGAGTTGCGAGACTGGATCATTTCCACGAGAGAAATCGTGAGCAACGCATTCAGCTATGACTCGCCATATGCCATGTCTTGGGTCATGAGTGTCGAGAACGCCAGCGCAATAGAGGAACTTGATGAGGAGTGCCTCTACCCGATCCTTGACAATAGGTTCAATGCTGCACTGAGAAAGTGCATCACATCGAAACCTATAGTTGCCAAGATCAGCAGGCTGACTGAAGAGGCTCAGGTGA